CTAGCCTTAATCGAAAGTTCTCTCTTGTTATCGGGAGGGATAATTAACCATAGGGGTTCACGCCTATGATAAACTAAACCTCATATCATAAAGTCCTTGCAAAATGGGGATGAAATTTATAGCTAGTATCTTATCTAAAATCTAATCTATCTTCTGAAAGTTTTCCCCAAAACCTAAATCTCTTCAAAACTCTCATTGTCGATAAGAAGGCCCAGAGAGGCTGATGTGCGAATTTTTAGAGCCACAATATTCATTTTTTATTTAGCTTCTTTTTCTTGCAATGCAAAGTTATGTAACGAGTAGCATCACTGCAAAAGTTGCAAGAGAGCATCATTTATTTCATTTGAAGACTAGTAGCTTTCAATGAACATTGTAATGCTAAAGGAACATTTTTTAGCTTTTATTTTTGCACATAATTAGAAAATATGGTCTTGTTTATTGATAGTTGCTAGAAGCCATCTTATTGTATTATTTCTTTCAATTAACTTACATCTAAAATTTTCATTTATCTGCTATTATTATGAATGAGAATATTTGATGCGTGAACTTAAATTTGAAGAACCTTTTTTGGTAAATATCCTCAAATATGAAGCTTGTATGCACTTAAATATGTGAGAAGAAAAGGTGGCGGTTAGACATTAAAGGATCCGAGGAGGTTTCATCAGAAAACTGGCATTAAAATCATGCTATTGTTCAAAATAGCTTCTATCAATTTAATTTTCTGCAAACATTTTGTTCTGATGCTAATGTTCCTTATCATGATATTTTTCTGTTCAATCCAAGGCCGCTACTTTCTACTACTTCTGGTGAAATGCTAGATAGGAGTGCATCTCCTCTAGTTAACTTGCATCCTGGGCTACAAGCACCTTACTCACCGTTGGATACTGAAAGTTCTAATTGGAATTACATGAAGATGGCATCCTTCATTGATACTGGTGCTTCAAGAGTGAATCAGTTAATGCCTAGAGTTAATCCTCTTGATACTCAAGCATTGAACAGTTCATCGAACTATCTATGTCCTGCTACAAAAGTTGAAGGTTTGGAGGATTTCTCACATTCAAGGGTAATGTATGATATCTATATTCTACTGTAATGTCACACGTAGAACCTGGAATTTAAACATTTGGAACCTTTTAAATACAGATTGGATTACCATTGCCAAATACTCATGAAGAACAAGCAAACATTTCCAAAGATATTGATTATGAAGAACCTGCAAAAGTATGTTCCCATTAATAGTTTGCTTTTTAGTTACTTATTTTGCTATACGGAGAAGTAACTTTGATCTTATGCTGTTTCTCATCTATTTCATGATTATATTTCATTTTGATTTTGTGCGGAATGTGCTACACTTATTCCATGTCATTTTAAGAATTGGTTCCCCTTTGAAGATTGGTGTTTTGAAGAAGCCGAAGTCAAAACATTGTTCAAGCGTCGCTCAGCAAGCTGAAGAAACCATGGAAACAAAAAAAGACAGACCTTCTAAAGCTATAAGTAGTCGGGTGAGAAACTTTCTTATGTGTTTTGGGAGGTTGGTGCAATTCTACTGTTTCTAATACAAAGTCATTCCTTACCAACATTAGCGCAGATAGGCTAGTCCCTGGCTATTTATTGGAGCCGTATTAGCTTTGCTTTGTTTTATTCCCTTACTAAAATGCTTAGAAAATTTGTCCATGGTTTAACGATGGCAGATATATAGAGCTAAGGTTGCCGAAGCATTTAAGGCCTTGAAAAATGCTCTACCATGTTCTGAAACGGTAAGTTAACTATCGCCAGTAGATTCCAATAGTATATAAAATAGATATTAAATGTTCTATGTGGTTCACAATTAATTTCTTTGTTAAAGATGGAAATAATTTTAGTCAGCTAATCTAACCCAAATGTTATTTGGATGAGTTTTACTGCAATTTGACTTACTTTGAGATAGATGTCTTGTAAGTTTTTTTTTATTAGTCTTTTTTCCATTCATCTCCAGGCAAATTCGACAACAATATAACTAATCCTGATTAAATTTGAATCAAATACCTGACTTCAAATTTTCGTGGTTATGTTGAAAAAAAGCTCTTTGTGGGCTGAAAACTCTTCTGATATAGATATATGTCATGCAAAGTACCAAGTTTATTCTATTTCAATGACTAAGAAGTTTTGTTTCTCAAAATAAGTCATTTCGATGTTAACGTCTCTTTGTACATTCAGTTTTGTTTATGCCAATCTAATTTTTTGTTGTTGTTTCTTTCTGCCTGTTTACAGGGTAATCAGACATCTATGCTAGATAATGTCATAGATTATATCAAGTATTTGAAACTTCGGCTAAAGGTAAGTGACATTTAATGCATTTGTATAATTGAAATCAATCTTAGAAAAATTGTATTACAATTTTTAGTGTTGCCGAGCTGCTGATGGTTTTCATTTTGTTGTACAAGGCGTGTCCTTTTAAATGTCCAAGAATTCATCAAAATGGTTGTCATACATTAAAAACTTGTACATAAGTATGTGTCTGCGATTGATACTTGATGGGATTGGGAATTCTAATAAAGTTAAATCAGAGCAATAGATATTGTTTCCTATACTCGAGTGGTATTTAAACATAGATAGTATCAATTTAGAGCGAAAGATGATGACATTACTAATTAAGAGATACCATTCATCTTTGCAATGAATCAATTGTTTTGTTAGTTACCATAAGTTTATTGATATAATGGGTGGCTCTTTAAAAAAATTTTATGCCATGTGGATATATGATTTCAAAATTAAGAGAATATTTTCCTAAAAAACATGTATTACTATGAGCTCTTTAGCATGAAATTTCTAGCTTGATATCTTCAATCTCCTTTTTAGTTTTTATAATCTGTTTTTACGGCGATAATTTTTGTCACTCTAAAAGTATTTCTAACACTAATCAAGCCTCCATTATATGTCTTAAAGCCCTATTCATAAGTCATCAAGTCTAATACGTATTTCATCTAGACTTGGGAGTTGTTTGGTTTGTTGAAAAAAAAAAAAAAACCAAAGAATGTAATGTAAAAGAAATCTAGCGTATTTGAAGTGTTTGAAGTTGTTTTGTCTAGGGTAAAAGGAATGCCTTTTTTTTATTGGCTTGACGTAAAATGAATGTAACGTAAAGTAAAATGATGGTGGTGGTAGGTAAAAGCGGTTGAGGGTGGCCAGTATTCGCTGTAGGCAGCCACTCCTAGTGGCGGTGGTCGTTGACGGTTGGCATCTACTATCAATGGTAGCAATAGTTGGCGGTGAGCAACTGCGATGGTTGGTTGCGATAGCCGATGGTTAGTGGTAGTGAGCGACGATGATGGTCGATGGTTGGCAAGAGGCTGATAGTTGGAGGGTAGCGACATGATGGATTGACCAATTTGATTGGGAGGGAATTATGAAGTTTTCTAATCAAGAGGGAGTTGTTTAGGAAGTTTCTTAATCAAAGGAGATTAATTAGGATATGTTTCCTAATTGAAAATAGCATATTTAGGGGCTGATTTGGGGATTGATTTAGAGGGGATTAATTAGGAAAGGTTTCCTAACTGAAGATGAAAGATTTGGGGGAGGGTTTTCCTAGGGTTAAGGGGATGTGTTGTTTGCTGAATTTAGATTGTTCTTAGGGTGTTTGGGCTCTAGCTTGTTGCTAGAGATTCGGGCAAGCTGGATCTTCCTCTTCAATTGAAGATCCACTTGTATCTTGTCTTTTCTTTCATAAAACTTTCAATAAAAAATATTCTTGTGTGTTTTATTCCTAGTTTTCTTGTCATTGGTTTTTTGACATTGCTAAAATCATATTTCAGCCAAGACTTTACCTAAAATTCTGCAAGCACTTCCTATCACAACGATTGAAAGTTGGGTGGTGGTCGACGTTGGTCAGTGGCATCAGGCAGCGATAACATAGTTTGCTTGCGGGAAATTTTTTTTTTTGGGAAAACTGAACTCGTTTATAATACTTAAAAGACGAACTAGGGAGTGAAAAAGGAATTTACTAAAATTTTACATTGCATTCTTTTTTCATCATATCAAACACTCAAATTTCCTTTTGTAGTGCATTCTTTTTATCCTTCATTCATTTTTCAACAAATCAATTAGCCCCAAAAAATGAAATATTCTGAATAAATTGATTCAAATAAGTAGATATTCTAGTGAAATTGATATTACATTCTAATTTGATTTTACTATGCTTAAATCTATTATTCTAAGGATAAGCTTTCTTTGATAAAAGAGTGATGAAAGGCTTCTATTAGTGTTTAAATGAGAATGTTACACACCACTCTTTCATTGTGTATGTTTGTGGGTGATTCTAAGCGTTATCGAGCTCAACAGTTGAATAGAAAGCAAGTTGAGCTCAATTCAATTATCCGTCAAAAGTTGGCTATTAGCAAATATAAAGGTTGATTTACAACTCTAACGTTCATTGCAAATTTAATTGAGCTCTTCCTCTTAACTAATTGCAGATTAACCAGCAATTTAATATATATTTTTTGTATTTTTATCAAAATTCAAACATACGATGCAATCTTCACACTCACTGTTGATAGAATTGCCACGTTAGTTAGCTTAATGATCATGCACTTTGTGCGCTTGATGTACTCGTTACTTCATTTCTGGCGTTCATTCTTTTCATCCATCTTTTCTCTCTCTTTTTTTTTAATCCTCTTTATGCACGTATTCTATCAATCAGATGGAAAAGGATGTTGGATAATTTGTTGAAAGAAAATAACTCTATCAAGCAACATGTAATCTGTATCTGAAATGTTTTCTCTTTGCTGTTATGAGGCTATGCTTTAATTCTAATTCAGGTCAAATGGCAGGTATTGAGTCAAACCAGATTGAATGGTGAAGCCTCGGCTCATTCTTTTGTTGATATTGAGGTGCTTTATGTCCCCATTCCCATTCTTAAGTCTGTGTATTTATTGTATAATATACTTTTTTTGACTTTGTTCTGTTAATTATTTTATTACCGTATCATTTATGAAACATTCTATTGCTGTAAGCTGTTAAGTTAGTGCTTTGTTTCTTTCCTTCACTATAGCTGAACAACTATTCAGCACTGGTTTTTTTGTATCCTTTTGTTCTACCTAAGGTAATTGTGTTTATAGGATGCTGTCTTATCCAACTATATTCTATTTATTCTTTAATATGAGATTATGCCATAAGCTAATTATTATGATGTTATCCTTATGGGGCATTTCTTGCAGATACAAAGCATGTTTTAAAAACATGATCATTTAGTTTTTAATCATTTTGCGCATGAAAATAGAATAATTCTATTTTTAGAATGTAAGGCCAATGCTAATTTATATTTACATTCTACGAAATGATAGAGTTAGCTAGCCAATTTTTACATTTTTTCGGAAACATATTTTCTAAATTATAGCAATTGAATAAGCCCAAAGTGAAATTGCAAGCATTAATTGCTTATTATTGTTCCTTTACTGATTTCCAAAATCATCATCATATTGCAGACGTGGTGTCATTGAAGGATTACGTACATTACACTTGTAATTAATTGTAATTGTCTTAGATAATCTATTTTTTAGGTCAGTGTTACTCTGTTTAGATCTATGCTCTTAACAGATAAATGATGTTTTTTTCATCATTATATTTAATATTTTCTACAGCTGTGAGAATTTTAAGAATGATGAAGCCTTTTTTTTTGGTAGGGTTTTGGTCACTACTTACTCCATCCTCAGGCATGCTTTGAACCTCTTGAGGAAATGGTTGGACATCTTCTGAAGTCAAACCCACAGGTGGCCAATGAGCTGCTCGAACACAAAGGCTTCGCCATTGTGCCCATGGATTCTGCCTACGCTATTCTTCAGACTAGCTTGAACCCTTGTTCCAATTCCTGCCAGTGATGATCAAATTTTGCGTACAATAAGATTTTTTTTAGGCCATTTCATAGCCTTATACATCGTAGTTATCGACTTTTTCTGGTTCGCTTGAGCTGCATGCTTGATGTTGACGTAGCTATGGTTTTCCTTCGCACTTGATGCTCTTTCAATGAAATATTCGATTTAGACATAAGGAACAGTATTGTTTTCGAGTAAAAGTTTTTTTCCTTTGCTTACGTGCAACCCTGCCTTATGGCCCAACAGCACCCATGCATGCATATTACTGATTGACCTGCATAATTTATTTCTAGAAGCAATCAGGTTTTTTACCATGAGTTTTTTACTTAATGCTGATTCGCTACTTAGCTATATGGTTAGTAGAATAAGACAGAGGAGCCTTTTCAACTGTTAATAGCATTTCTGTCCGTTCTGTATGAAAGTTGCTTGTTTTCTGTTGCTAACGATCTTGCAGTTTTTTAATGCGTAGTGTGGATTGCATAAATAGTGGTGAATTAAGAGACCAATGGAGTAACTCGTTCTCCCTGCTCATTCTGATATTGCGTTTGTTTAAAATATTTTGTTTATTTTCATATTGTTGTCGATGAGTAAAGACATTGAAATGCCATTAATGGTATTAGTCAATTTCAGGTTTCTGTATTTCTTTTGTTAGGGAAAGTTCTAATTTAACTGCTTGGATTAGAATCCATAAAAAACTAAAATTCATTCCGGATGAAATAAGGGAAATATTTGCCTTAAAAGCAATTCAAAAGTTGAAAAAAAAAGGGAAATATTTGCCTTAAATTAGGGATGTTCATTCTAATTTTCTAACAATTGGCTTTTTGGTTTCAACAAAATTTTTTCACTTGATGGATTATGCATTTTGAATGTGTCAATATTTTGGGAATCATTATTGAATTTTAAAGATTTAATTTAATTTTAATTTTTTTTTAATGTATAGCTTGAATTATTTGATTTATATCTTAATTTATTATCTCTTTAGGAAGTATGTGACAATAAAAAAGTTAATTTCTACAATAGCTTTCAGAAAAATTATTTTTCTAAATAATCATTTTAATAAAAAGTTGTAGCCGGTGCATCAAGTCAATGCACTTCTAAGTGATTTATAACAATGACCTAGATAACTATTCTTTGTGGGAATAATAACCCCTTGTAATGAGAGGGTCATGTTTATATGAGAGAGATCAAGATCTATTAATGTGTTTATTTGAAGATTAATCATTCTTATTTGTTATTTAAAGCTTATTGCTATTAAAATTTACTCTAAATATTATTTAATAATGTGAAAATTAATAGAAAAAAATTGTTTGTTTATATATTATATTATAATTATTTTATATTATTTATTTATTTTAAATTCTTATTATATCATGATGAAATTATAAAAGGAAATATCGCACGTGTTATCCTAAATTTTAAAAAGTTTCCGTTATGACCCATAAATACCGCACAAGCTCAAGCGAACTTCTCTCAAATTCTTCTGCTTGCTCTGCTCCGCCGCTGCTGTAGAGAAAAGGAAATCGCCATGGGACGTGCAAAGCTTAAGCTCATTTATCAAGAGAACTTTCGCACTCGGATCAAAACCTACACGACGAGGATGAAAGGGTTAAAGAAGAAGGCCAATGAGCTCTCGGTCCTCTGCGGCGTCGATGTTCTTCTGGCTTCGTTTTCCCCAGAACTGAACACCTTAGAGCTCTGGCCGGAGGACACAATCGAATTCAGCCGTATCAGGGAACGTTTTCTCAGCTTTAGGATGAAGAAGATCTGCAGTTGCGATCATGAAGGAAATGGCATCACAGAACAGCAAATCTCGCAGAGAACGACGCCTGCTTCGCTTTCTTTGTCTTCGTTCCATGAAGATAAAGCAGCCATGGAAATCAAATTACAAGAGGTGCGCGAGAGGCTAGAGTTCCTCCAACGTCAACGTCAAGAGGAAGCAGAGCGACTTCAGGCGCAGTACGAGGCTTCCAAGGCTTTGCAACAGATCCAGGATCTTCACCGTCGCCAACAATCTTTTTCATTTCCCGGATGTCTTCCTCCTCATATTACTGCTGATTTCGAGATTCCACTGCAACCGGAACTTTTCCCTCATCAAAAACTTTCTCCTTTTGCCCAATTTCTTCCTCTTCATGTACAGCCTTCTCCATTTGCCCAAGATCTTTTTCCTCGGCATGATTTCAATAAACCTCTGCAGCAGGATTTTCATCCACACGAGCAAGCTTCACTATTTTCCCATTCTCTTCTTCCTCATGAGCAACCTCTGCTAGTTCCCCTATTTCTTTCTCCTCATGAACAACCCCTTTCAATTTCCCTATCACTTTCTGATCAGGAACAACCGTCTCCACTTTCCAAATCTACTCCCCCTCATCGTGATGCTGATTTCAATAGAGAGGATGCACCAGCTTCCCTGCTGCCTTTTGACTCCCCTTTGTGGAGCAACTATGAGTGCTTGAGTTGGTGTGACAACCTTCTTCTGGATTATGAGACCGAATTATGAATTCAGCTTCTACAGCTTTGTTGATGTCCTTTTTTTTTTTTTCTTTTTCTTTTTTCTTCTTTTATGCAAATCTATTGTATAAACTGAATGCTTTAGGTTTTCCAAGACAATAAATAATAAATCTTTGATGATTTAGTGTAAATGATGGTTCTATTAGAATGTTAACATACTAATTCAATGCAACTTTTGTGATTTTTTCTCCTATAGTAAATCGAAGGATATAATTATGGCTTAGCATCCAATATGTTAAATAAAAGATGATCATCATTGACAACAACAAATGCTTCATTTTTGCCAGCTTGGTGTAAAAATTAGGCTTGAGGCGTTAGACAACATCTTTGATTCATTTTCTTACTTATTGGGTTAGATTTAGAAATGGATTAGAGATAAAGATTGATCGCCAATGTCACTGAAAGTTTGCAATTACCAAGGACTTCATTGATGTTCCACTTGACATCCCAAATAATCTTCATAGTTCATACTTTCATGATAAATGTACCATACTACATAGATAATTTTATAAAGGAGACATTTGATTTTGAAAATATGTGATTCCATTATCTATTAAGGGGTATCAATATCCCGAAAGTTTGATTGTTGGATCAAAATGCATATTATTGTAGGATAATTGCCTATTTAAATACTTGTATTCTTTAATAAATTTAATAAGAAATCTCTTCCCAAAACTTTTTTATGATCTTTCGAAATGCATTATTAATAAATTTAATTAGAAATCTCTTCCCAATAATCCATAACAGCAACTTTTTACTACAGCAAAAAATGAATATTAGCTTCCTGTTGGTTGCAGCTACAGTAATCGGCACTTTACCAAAGCCACTAATTACACTTGTTTTGTTGCTGCTTTGTACTGATTACTACCTATGTTGGTTCAAGGGATCCCTATGTGCTACTTTATGGAAATAATAAACTCATATTGCTTTTTGAAGAAGACGTAGATCTTTTGGGAAATAATAAAAGTATTGTGAACATAAAGTTAGAATTTCATTTTTAATGGCAAAAGCGTGTCAAAGAAATCTTGAAATCATTAATCAAAGCTGCTGTGGTGTGGCGAATATCACTGATTATACCTCAAGGTTTTTGTTTAAGTTTATCGTTGCAAAAAAGATATTCAAAATAAATTACCATGTTCTATATATGCTTTTTGAAGAAGACGTAGGTCTTTTGGGAATAGATTTCTTGAAATATATTAAAAATCAGATCAATGATGGAGTTTTCAAGAAGATATGTGTATTAGGATTAGCATAATCAACTTTGAGTCCAAGATACTTCTATTATTTTATTTGTGTATTAAAGGTAAAAACTCTTAAAAATCTAATTTTTCTTTTTAAAACTAAAAAAATTTAGTCAAGTTTGAGCTTTTTAAATGACCCCAAGCCTAAAATTTTGCTAATGATCTAAGTATGAGCTGAAGTTTAGCTCATCTTAATAAGAATTAAATGTGCTTAGCTCAATTAGGCGAATGCTTGACTCGATTTGACTAAATTTGAGCTCAACCTAAACCCTTATACGATCATCAATTATAATTAATCTTGATTCGATTGCTTAATTTTTAGAATTAAATTAGGCAGCATAATTAAACTTTGTACTATATGAAAACAATCATAAAATATGAATAGATCAAATTTAACTATTTAAATTTTACTAATTTAAGTTACTAAATGTGGGCTCCGAAAATTCGGCCCCGGCCTCCCCGCTCGCTTTTCTTTTATTTGGCGAGGGAGTTTTAACGGAATAAGTTCCGGGGTAAATTTTAGAAGTCAGATGGGTTTGTAGATAAGACACTACCCAGAGATTTCGCCCTCATTTTGTGAGAACTTTATGATCTGAGTTCTGGTTTCCTATAGGCGCAAGCCCCTATAGTTAATTACCCCTCCCAATAATGAGAGAGAATTTTCGATTAAGGTTAGTCGTCAATCAGATACGTAGAATATACGTGTTATCTGGCATATAGTAGCATAAATGGGTTTAGGTATTTGAAAAGTTTGGATATTTGGAAATTTGGGTTGAAATATTTGGGGAGTTGATGATTTGGATGTTTGGAAAATGGTTGGGAATTGAAGGGTTTGATATTTAAAATAAGAAATTTCACCATCTTTCACTTAAAGCGGATGGTGGGGGAATGGATGATGGATCCGATCAAGATCCCATGATTTGGTCATCTCGGGCAATCGTGGTCTCTGGTCTACTTAGTTAGAGGAGGTAGTCGACCCAACCTGACAGAAGGATCCTTGTCGGCAGCCATGGGTTGCTTCGTCTAAGGGGACCTTGTAAACCTGGGATGGGTATTTGACTAAGGGGACAAATTTAAATCCATATTAGCTAACAGAGGGCTTTGTGCCCTATCAATTATATCATATTGATTCATATCTCAAGGATTTGATGCCAATAAGGAACGTAACGGTGCTGGCAATAACCGGTATTTCGTGGTGCCATTTGGCGGTAAAACCACTCGGTTCAGAGGGCCCTGGGTCATAACCGTTTACCTGCAGTGCCATTTGGCGGCGAAACTATCGGTTAGAGGACGCGTACCACGTCCTTACTGGCCGGAGATTGTTTGAGAATGGATCCTAGTGATATTTTCGACTAGACATTAGCTCTTCGTGAGCTGAAGTAGTTTTTGATTTGTCCACCCCGGCAAACTATTGCGGAGGGTGGATGGATTTTGCTTTGAGTGTTTGATAGTTGAATTTCAAATTTAAATATCTTTGGATTTTGGATTTTTGGAATTTTGGATTTTTGTGAGTATTTGGGTGGAGTTTGAAAGACATTTGAAATGTTTAGAATGGATCCCTCCGATTGAGATTTGTATTAAACACGGCTATCATCGGAGTGTTTGGGGGCATTTCCATTTTCTGGATTGAACCTTGTCGACTTTGTCTACTGGTCGACAGAGGATTAGGTTTCATTGGGTTTTATGCCTTTATTAGTTAATTCTCTTGATTATAGGCCTTGAAGGACTAATATGAATGTATTAAAACAAATACACTGGTCGCCACAACTAGGTATTTATTTAAAGGTTCGAACCCTGCCTACTTCTATTGATCCGTATATAATGATCGAGTTCGAACTTGAATTCACTTATTGACCCGCGCAGCATCCCTAGACATCACATGTGTACCAATAACATGCTCGCCGAGGCCCATGCAGGTGTTTGGGGCATTTTCATTTGTAGCTTGAACCTTATCGACTCTGTCTGACTATCGACAGAGGATCGGGCTTTGTAGGCTTTATGCCCTTGATAGTGAATTCTCATTGTCATAGGCCTTGAAGGCCTAATATGAATGTTTTAAGACAAATATGACGGTCACCACAACTGTATATTTATTTGTTGGTTCGAACTCTGTCGACTTCTATTGACCCGTATAGAATGATCGGTTTCGAACTTGAATTCACTTGTCGGCCCACACAGTATCCCTAGACGTCACGTGTGTACCAATAACATGCTCACCGGGGTCCATGCAGGTTTTCATTGCATTTACCTATTGTGTACCTATGTGTATACAAACTATAGTGCACGTGCAAGGGTAATTTAAAGTATTTGTAAATGCCTTTGATCCTCTTGCATAGAAGTTGCGGATCCGGTGGCGTTTTGTAGCAGCTTCTAGATTGAGTTGTCTGCTTTTTTGTATAGATAGACTGTCGTGCACTACATATTGCTTTCTGCAATTGGATTGTAGTGCACTAACTAATCTCCTATTTTTCGGTTTATTGATACTTGCATTCATTATAGTTTTTTTGCATTCGTTCATAGATAGTATGCAAAATTCATAGCGGGGCTCCAATAGAAGCTCGTGGGAGCTTGTATCTGTCGTATTCTTCATGCACTTTGTTGTGGTTTTTAGCTCATATAGTACATCCGTCACTGTTATAAGTAGGTAGCTAGATGTATTCCTTCACAGATTGAAATTGACTTCAAGATACTGCATTTACTGAAGTCTTTCTGCATCTGCCCATAAGTAGCATGTGGCACGTACATCTGTCTTTGTAAAGAGCTTGTATGTATTGCAGATCTTTTGATGTTATATATGAGCCTTCACATTTATCACAGTTCTTATATATATTTGTCTGTAGATAGTGTATTGTGTATATGAAGGGTCTTCTACAACAACTTGAAGGAGTTTGTATTTATTGTATTCCACTGGCCTTTGCTTGCATGATCAACATAAATTTGCACATCAACTATCATCATTGGTAGGAAATTTAACTGTTAGGGATTTTGTATAATTCACTTGCAGCCAAACTATATCTTCCCTTTGATTTTCTTTGCTTGCTGTGTTCAATGCATCTGTTTGTAATAGATTCATAGTTCTCGCTTACATTTGAACTACAAGGTATTACTACGTCCACTTTGGTGAGTCAAAATCTCTTGTAGGTGTTAGAAGCATTCGTTCTTCCTTATGTTATAATGGACTGTATGAACACCCCGACACTCGTGGCATGCTTTTTGTAGATTTGTTCAAGCCAATCAATTTGTATGAACCTTTGCTATCATTCTTGAGTGAATGATACTAGAGATCACACGACCTTCATTTCCTTTGAACACAGCTTTTAGTCTACGAGGGACTTATATGTGGATGACAATTTCAGCACATTTTGTATCAATTGTTTAACATTGTGTTCAACACAAATCTCCTATTCATATGAATGGATAATATCTTATAAATCAATTGATTCATGAGTCCCACATATATCCATTTACATCTCGATGATAATTTCAAAATTCAATGTTCAAATGAAATTCCTCTCTTTTTTTATTGTGTTTTCATTTTAGGAGAGATTTTGGTGCAAAATCATCATTCAATGATCATTCTAATCAAGTTTACATCAAATCTTTATTCATCTCTTCAAGCTTGAGATTTGGTCCACTTGATGCTCAAATCAATATTTTCTGTAGTCCAAGTTCTTATATTTGGTTCAAACCAAATTGAAGTCTAAAAAAGCTTGCAAGCCTTCATCACTTGATTCAAGTCTAGGTTCAT